CATGTCACTTACTGTTCTCAAACTTACAGGAAAGAAACATGGGACTAAAATACAGCTTCAGTAGGCAATGCAGTCTGTTTTGTAATTCTTACTGCCAGTTAAATGGTTTCACATATTGGCATTTTCAAAGTGTGACTTTGAAGTTCCACGGGCTTGTTTATTATTGCATCAAAATTGGCAAAATGACCTCTTTTGCATCCTTTTTTCTGTTATTTTGTCTGTACATTTGACAGCTTTGCTGCCTTGTTTTCCATAAGATTTTATTAGCATCTGTATGCTGACTGCTATAATTATTGCCTGTAACCTAATCAAAGGAGGTTATGTTCTTATCAGCATTTGTCTGTCTGTTTGTTAGTGGGCGAGAAGTCTTTTTTATGTACAGACACAGATGTGTCTGTACATATTGCCATCACCTGCGTCTGTCGTCGCTGTCGCCGTCGCCGTCGTTGCCGTCGCCGGCGCCGTGCACTTTCCTTGTAAACACGATAACTGGAAGGCAGTTTTACTTTTTGGCTTTATATTTACAGAGCTGATGAATATTCATAAAATGCAGGTCAAGTTCAAAAATCAGCATGATCGGGCCATTATTGTAGAAATAATGCTGTTTTTTCACTTTTCAGCATATGTGCAACACTGTAAACACATTTCAAGGAAAACCGATAGGCCTGTTGTCATGAAACTCACAGGAGTAATCAATCTTTCTAAAACGCAGGTCAAGTTCGAAAATCGGCATGATCGGGCCACTATTCTAGTAGTTATGCTTTTTTTATCACTTTTCAGCATATATATGCAACACTGTAAACACAATATAAGAAAAACAGACAGGCAAATTGTCATGAAACTCACAGGAGTGGTCAATCCTGCTAAAATGCAGGTTGAGTTAAAAAATCAGCATAATCGGGGCATTATTTTAGAAGTTATGCTGTTTTTTCACATTTCCTCAGATTCAATTCTTAGGCATGTTAACAGTTTCATTATTTAATTAATAAGATACGTAAAAGTGTTTGTTTGACATTTCCTGCATCTTTACAACATTGTTAGTTGATTTTGTAAAAATGATGGTAAACTTGTTATCGTGTATTGTGTAATTAAGTTTCAAAAATGGAAATAAACTCATATCATTGCAGTTTGTCAGATTCAATCATTCACTATGTTCAGAATCTCAGAATGGAAGAAATTAGACATTTAACACTGCTCCATTGATGTTTTTCCCATCTCATCAATTTTCTCAGTTGATCATATAAAAATGGCGGTAAACTGTTAATTTTGTTTTATGTTGAAAATTGATAAAAATGGAAAAAAAAACATTTCAGAACAGTGCTGTCTTGTTTACATTTTGGCACTTTCAAGTTGTGACTTTGAAGTTCCATGGGCCTGACGACCTTTGCTAGTCACATTTTCTGAATATCCATGATACTAATATTTTATTATTAAAAATTGATGGTCATTATGCTGTTAAACATTATGTAATATTCCATCAAAATTTGAAAAAAACCTATTTTGGGCACTGCTCCCATGATGACCATTTAAGAAAAACCATGTGACTTACTGTTCTCAAACAGTACAGTAAATATGTACAGATGTGTCTCTACATATTGCCATCACCTATGTTTGTCGTCGCTGTCGCCGGCGCTGTGCACTTTCATTGTATAAGTGGAAGGCAGTTTTACTTTTTGGCTGTTTGGTAATTCTAACTGCCAGTTAAATTTAATTTTTCACATATTGGCATTTTCAAGGTGTGACTTTGAAGTTCCACGGGCTTGAAGGCCCATGCTAGTCACATTTTCTGAAAATCCATGATACGTATATTTTATTATTAAAAATTGACGGTCATTATGCTGTTAACCATTATGTAATATTGCATCAGAATAGAAGAAAACACAATCTTGGGTGCTGCTGCCATGATGACCATTATGGGAAAACTGTGTTACTTATAATTGCCAAACTTTCAAAAAAGAAAAACAGGACTAAAATGCAGCCTGAGTTGGAAAAGCAGTCTAATTGGCTTCTTTTTCTGGAAGTTATACATTTTCAAAGTGTGAACTTGAACTCTCATGGGACTGAAGCCTAATGCTTGTTACACATTTTACTTACATTGGTATTATCTGTTGAGCATAATTAAAATTTGATGTTAAATTTGCAGTTTAACATAATGTACTTTTGCATCAGAATTGACAGAAGCCTATTTTGTGCATAGTTATTTCCTGTTTTTTGTCTGTACATTTGACAGCTTTGCTGCCTTGTTTCCATAAGATTTTATTAGCATCTGTATGCTGACTGCTATAATTATTGCCTGTAACCTAATCAAAGGAGGTTATGTTCTTATCAGCATTTGTCTGTCTGTTTGTTAGTGGGCGAGAAGTCTTTTTTTTTTAATTTTGACAAAGACATTTTCAGGAGGAAAAGAAGTGATTACAATTTTGTGAACTTAATCCTATCCTGGTAGTTTTAAAATAATTTTGTTTTTGTTTTAAACCCTTAAAGAAGTACTATTGCCTTTCTTTTTTCCGTCCATAGAGTTCTGTGCTTGAAATGCTGTCTAGTTTTTGCTTACATCATTTTCTTGTTCAATTTTTGCAGATTTTAACAGGCCAATGTAAAGCCAAAGCTAAAAGCAAATATGACAGACATTCAACTGAAGAAATGTGGAATACGTTTCAACCCCCCAGCTATCATCGTAACTTACCTCATTGTATCTAAGAACAAACTTCACCGTCGCACAATGCCTGTGCGGAACTTCACCAAGAATTCTGGGATACAACGCACAGTTGATGAACTGAGACTCAATAAAAAACATGAAAAATATTTACAAAACATCCCCTTGAGACAGCTGGAGAAACTGCTGACTGTGATTCAGGATAAAATGAAAGGGATAAGTTTGGAGGACAGTTTAAGAGAGAGAGAGAAACTGGAAACTATCGATCCAGAGGAGGACTTGAACAAGGCAGATGATAGGACATTGGCTGCTAAAAAAGCTGTCATGGAGGAGTCGTTTGAGAAGAACAGGAAGAAGCCTGGAGATCCTGGTTACGAGTATGACGTAGAGGTGGAATTTGAGGGTGGTGTAGAGACTTGTGAATGGGATGATGATTCAGATCCAGACTTTTAAATACTGTTTTCTTGAGATTTGTGCTCATTGTTTCCTCATAAATATTACTCAGAAGAAAATTAATTGTTCTGTGGAAATATACAGATGTTTGAAGGCTTATTCTGACTTAAATTTGTTACATTTGTTAGTAACATTTTTACAATAAACTTTTACCTAACAATATTAGTATTTTGTTCAGTACACATTTCTAGACTTTGGGGAAGTCCTGAAACTCTTGTATATTTTTTTTCTAGAAACACTGAATCAGCAAATATTTTTTTTAATGGGGAAATGATATCAGACTTGCTCAGATCATTTCAAGCGCTTATACATAAATAAGTCTATTACACCAGTGGTTCAGTTACCCAGATCCAGTCTTTTTTTTTTTTTTTTTGCTGATATTGAT